GTAGTAGTAGTAAATTAAGTTACGTTAGTTAGTTAGTACGTACTACCGTACCGTACCTACCGTAACTAACTTATAGTAGTTAGTTAGTATATATATATATATATATATATATATATATATATATATATATATATGAACTAACAGTATGACCTGAGCACTGTCGAATAATAAATTGAATAACCTCGTTGTATGGAAGGATGACTATATATACACTACCGATTCATACACACTCTGAGCCGTACATGGCTGAACTTAATAGAAAACGTTGTTACACGCATAAATGCAGACATTTCTTAAACTTGCAATTTGCAATCGACAGGATGATCATGTGCACTACACACATGCTATAGTATGTAGCTGCACGCTCCAACGCAAACACACGCACGCACGCATGCACGCACGCACGCACACAAACTCACTCTTGCACTGTTCCTTATAACCATATAAGCAAGTCACGAAACTGAAGCAGACACCTATTTCAGAATTACCCCCACCCGCGTTCTCCCCATCTGTTATCATCACAACAATTGTCTGAAGGGGGAATACTGCCCCCAAGACCTTTCCCCTTACGGCTACGACGCTCAGGATGGGCGGCAAGTTAATGAACACTGCCAAGACCCCTAAGCAAATTTGGCCACTGTCAATCGCAAGATTGCTGCTATATATTAATATTGCACATTAGTGATTATATTTCACTTTCATGCCGACAACGCCAGCCGTAGACTTCATCATTATTAACTTGCTGCTCCGGTCCACCAACGCACTTGCCCAGAGACGTACGCCTGATTGATTTGTCACTGCCGCTAATATCGACAGGCAGGTAGCAGAAGCGTGTTGTAATGCAGTAATGATGGCGTGTCCCCGTGAATTAATTGACCTAGCAACAGACTTAGCAGGCCCACACAACAGCTGCCGCGTAACTGCTATCGTCTGACGACTAACAGATCCCAACTCACCACGCCTAGTTTCACTCTCAACGTCTTTCACTACTGCTATTTATTTTACGCTGAAAATAAAGTTCTTTCCATCAGAATAACAACAACCGCACTGCCGTTAACACCGCACCCGGATGCATCACACAATGCTTTTAGCGACCGCAAAAAAAAAACACGCGGCCACTTATTTCCGATAAGATACTCGTGGATTATTGAGAAACATCAGATGTTTTACTAACATGCTGATATTCCACTCTTGTCGTCTACTCGCACCGGTTGTTACAATAATAACTATCGTTTCTACACAATTTTCCCGAAGTGACGAAGCAAGATACGCATAAATAACGTCACCATCAATACACACAGTGCCGGCAGTCCGTCAGCTGGTGCATGGGGGGGGGCACTTTCAATAAGAGCGTTTCCCAAGCGTTATTACCAAGGTGGACAGAATCGTGTTCGATAAGTTGCAAGATAACTCTGATCCTCAATGGTGTGGTAATGTAATGCGACGCGTGTATGTGACAGTGATCGGCTCTAAAGGACACGACACCTTTGACGGCGGCGAGTTTCGGGGGCACACTCACTCAACTTGTCGACTTACCGGTGATACTGTGGAACGCGGTATCCTCGTCGGTGAAGAACAATGGCTTTCTCGCGCGAAAGAAACTGACGTCAAAGTAGAGCTTCCAGTCTTTCCTGAACGAGAATGGTTTCATGATCAGCAGCTTTCAGCTTTGTGGTCACAATACATGCACACGGAGTTCGTAGAGAGTATCTGTTTCCCATACTGACCATATTACAAAATACAACCCACCTTTCACAGTATTACCCTCCCAACCCTCCCCCCCATATCTCGTTCTCTCTATGATATCTAAGATCAAAAGGGCCGGACACACTAGGTTATTTTTATGCGATCTAATCGGGCGACTTTATCGCCCGATTCTATCGCGCGAGTCGAGTGGACACACTAGGCAATTTTATCTAGATTTGATATTACGTTTTTACTATCAAAACGTTTTGATATTATAGGGCGATTATTTCAGTCACCCGATAATATCAAAACGTTTTGATCTATGCGATTAAATCGGGCGACTAATTCGGGCAACTAAATTGGCGGCGACTGACTGGACACACTAGGCGATTTCACCGGCGATTTCACCGGCGATTTAATCGCCTAGTGTATCCGGCCCTAAAGCACACATTCAAGCATGCATGAATGCCATTGTCCACAGCTACTACAAATCTTGGCACACTATGCACAACATAGTTAGCAGCTTGCGCATGAAATTGGAACATAATTACTGCACATCAGCGATTTGCTATATGAAATAATTTACCAGACCGATACAATTGTCCAATTCTTTTTACCAGTACAAGCATAAAATCTTCCTCATAAAACACAGAGGAACACTCACGTTTATTTATTTATTTATTCACAAGGTGAAACTGCCTTCAGACATTACCATGGCTTTTCTAATAAATTATTATGTTACTTTTTGCTCCACATAATTTTTCAATTGTTATGGGCCAGTCTGTATTAAAAGCTAGTCAAAGCCATTTCTGGACAGATTAAATATTAGTACAAACTATTACATTCTTATAAAGATTGCTGGAAGGACACTACCGTAAATGTCTGACCCTTTATGAAGAGACTAACAATGTGATCACTTGTGTTCATCAGTCATCTACACTTCTATTGGGTTAGACCAAATTGTTAGCCTGTCATGCAGGCGAATAGGCACAGATTTTATGCCTTACTAGTAGCACATTAGTGTCTTACCCACCTCAGCACACCTACATCCAGATGGCTCGCACACTCCCCCTCCCTCAGCACACCCAGACATTGACGGCCACCACGCCCACTCATCACAGCTACACCTCAAAAGCCGTGTATCACCACACCGTAACATTCTCAATATATACCTACCCCAGGATTCTCTTCAGCAGCATAGAACCATAGTCGATATGAGAGCTGGTGAGCAGGAACGTTATCTTACCAGCCGCTCTCATCTCTTGCAGCCACTGTCGGAGACGTTGGCTTGCTTCAAAGGTGTAGTCCTCTGTTCTGTTAACCATGCTCGGAAAATATGAGCCCTTCATCTCTGCAAGTGTTCACAGCATGTAGCTCACATTGGCACTAGACACAGAGACACTCACACAAACCATACACACCATCAATATTAGACACAGAGACACTCACACAAACCATACACACCACCAATACTAGACACAGAGACACTCACACAAACCATACACACCATCAAAAACAGACAAGAGACACTCACACTAAAACCAAAGACACACCCAAAACAACACATTAACACTAACACAAACCAGCACACACTCATCATACTGAGATCATCCAGAGACGACGCACAAGCAAACCATCACAAACATGCCATCAACTACCTAGACAACAGAGACCACGCACCACAAAACCATGAATCAGCATCCATCAATACTGACACATGAAGACACTCACGACAAACCATACACACCAATCAATACTAGACAACAAGAGCCACTGAACACATAACGGCGATGCCGACCACACCGTGATCAATACTAGAAACACAGGAGACACGTACACACAAACCATGAGCACACCACACATACTACAGAGCACAGGAGGCACGCTACTACAACCATACACACGCATCAATAGCCTAACCAAGCAGAGAACAACTCCACACAAACCATAGCACACCATGCATATGCAGATCAGACGGCAGAGTACAGCTCGTTCACGCGACAAGCCATGATGCTAGACACCAAGATCACCTCACGACAACCAATACAACACAACCTATCAATACTCAACATACAGCAGACACTCAACTAACCAAATCCTCACGCATACACATCCATCAAATACTAGACACCAGAGACACTCACATCAAATCATACACAGAGAGGGGTTGGGTGCACCTTTTGTTGTCGTTGTTTTGATGGGTGTCCATTCACAATACTAGACACAGAGAACACCTCACCACAAACCTATGACACACCCATGCAATACAGAGCACATGAGCACTACACGACCAAACCAATTACACACCATCCAATACTAGACAGCAGAGACACTCACTACAAACCATACACACCATCAATACTAGACACAGAGACACTCACACAAACCATACACACCATCAATACTAGACACAGAGACACTCACACAAACCATACACACCATCAATACTAGACACAGGACACTGCTAACTCAAAGCAGACACCATTGACAAGCACAAGACACTACTGACATAGATCTTACATAGTAAAGAAAAAACAAGACAGCTAACTTGAATCAAATAACCCTGAATAGAAACAAGGCATCGATGATAAACATAGTTACATGAGTAATACAAGACACACCATCAATAAGTATGAGAACCTACAGCAATCATACTTGTATAATTAGTTATTATAAGTTAATTAGTATAATAAGTTAATACTAACTTGTACTCTCACTGTACACAATACACAACTGGTATCAGCCTGGTTTCCATATAATTACATTAATTGCAAGGATCGCAGGAATAAATGTTCTGCGATCATTGCAAATTGTGCGATCCTTGCGATCACGATCGAGGATATGTACAAAATTTCTGTGACTCTTGTGACTATTACAATCATTAAGTTTTCAAATGGAAACCAGTCCATCCTTATGGCTATAGTTTATGGTTATGGGCAATCCTTGGGAACGAAATCGTGGCTTTATACAGCACAATGCACTCTATTCATTTCTCACTTTTGGCAAAATAAGGACTCAAGCAGAGGTAAACAATGTTATCTTCATGGGAGAAATACAAAGATATGACTGTCTATGCAACAAGTTTAGCAATGGTTAAAAACGGATAAACCTTGCAACAAAAAGCTCTTATACACCTACTGTGAGCATACTTGCAGTGTGCAAACATCACGAAATGTTCTCATTGAGCCAGAAATGTGCTCCGAAGTTGACTATTTTGAAAACTCTGTCAGACGTGGTTAACTTTTGTTACACAACTAGCAGTAGCCCTACGCTAGCGCATATAGTACCTGGAACGAAAACACTATAGTTGTTTCCTGATTGCATAAGTAATATAGATAAGGATATGAATTAACAAATTTCAAAATGTTGTACTGAATAAATATCGAATAATGAATTATAACTTCTTTTATCATAGAAAGGAACTGTTAATGAATCGAGCCGATCGCTCCGCTGTGTCCCGGATGTGTAAACACCACTGTGGTGCTACGTTCGTAAGAGAAGTAATTTCGTTTAGATTTTGAGAAGAAATGTTATGAAACTAGCAATAAAAATGATTTGTAGTGAATTTTTGCAATATATTCAAGCTCACAGTAGGTATAGCATGCATTTAGCTGCGAGGTTTATCAACTTTAAAGAATAACTAAACAACGGATAACTGTGGGGAAGAAATAGGCAGAAAGTCTGGAATTAACCCGAGTGACATGAATATTCGAAATATTCAGACTTTTCAGGGCAGTTCATGGCTACTTGACGTTTTCTTGGGATTGCTGTGACAATATGGAAACAATGATTCTCATAGATTGCAGAACATATTTTCCTGCAATTCCAGCAATTCTTGCGATCCTCACAATTATCTGTTAACCAGGTGCTGCACAGCAACCATCGACCAAAGCTGCTGCACACTATCTTCGCAGAATACTACGTAAACATCATTACAAGACTAGAGGTGACAGATACTGTCTTGAAAAAATAATTCTCTTTCATGTGCTTCAGCAGATATGAGCTAATTAAGTAGTGACGCAAGTTTCGCAACAATCACCGGGATGCAAACATTGGTACCAACCTGAAAAGTTGTCAGGAAAGTACATGTGCCGAAAAGGTTCCGCTGCCTTCCTGTAAGCTTCACTGTAGTCATCAATATGCCCGGCCGTTTGCTTCAACAGAAACAGAATACCAGTGATCGCTATATATGTATTGTTTTGTTCACCACAACCAAAAATTGCATGGGATTCTTTCGAGATGCAGTTATGTTTGACCCATGAATGGAATATGCAAGGCACGACTCATTCTGATAGGGTTTCCTTTTTATCTTATCATATCCCCCCTCACCACGCAAGTGCTGTCATATTCTTACACCACATTGATACAGTACACTTGTATAGATGGTATGATATGACAGTATATTAGTAAGTGCATAAATAATAGTACACACCTACAAATTTCTATAATTGTCGATTTATTTTGCACGTTACAGTAGAGTTGGGTACAGCAAAATTTTTTGTATTGCGGTATACCGCGATTTCAAGATCAGGTCACAGGAATATAACTCGAAGGTCAAAGACTTGTGGCGGGCTTTAGTGAAACGCGCTACGTGCTCGTGATCGATCGCGGTGCCCACAATCAAAGCAAGCAGTCTGCCCGCGCCTCATAGAAAAACGCCCTGGCAGTCGCCCGCTTCCGCATTATTCGCTTTAATCTGCATATCTTGTATTCCTTTGGAACAAACATCAGGCGAGAGTAGGAGGGTCGTACTGCTCTCATAACGGCTAGAACCACGTCTGATGCTAATGAAGTCATGTAGCAGAATAAAACAGAGGGCAGACTATCTATCTACTAAGGCATATAGAATAGGTGCTGGAGAATACGCGAATTATAGCGCTGAATGGTGCGTCGATCGACGGAGATGAATTTATAACCGTATTGCAAGACGAGGAAGTGAATAAAATTGATCGTGATAAAGAATAGCTAAAAACAGCCGGTACACCCCAACTACACACACAAGTCGCATGTACGTACGTCGTACAGGTCAACGGTACCGCGCGTAGTATCCGGTATACCCGGTAATACCGACCAACTCTATGACGTTAGCAGAAGGATTGAGAGGAAACGGAGTGATGTTTTACATGGATGCAGAAAAGGTTAAAGGGAGTGGTGCTACAATGATAAAGAGAAAGGTTTAAAAGCAACAGTGTTAGCAGATGGATAAAGAGGAGGTTTAAAAGACTACAGTGTTACAGATGGATAAAGAAGAGATTTAAAGGCCAACAGTGTTCGATGGATAAAGAGAGGTTAAAGCAACAGTGTTACAGATGGATAAAGAGAAGGTTTAAAGCAACAGTGTTACAGATGGATAAAGAGAAGGTTTAAAGGCAACTAGTGCTATCAGATGGATAAAGAGGAGATTTAAAGTCCAACAGTGTTACCACGATGGATAAAGAGGAGGTTTTTTAAAGGCAACAGTGTTACAGAGGATAAAGAGGAGATTTAAAGGCAAACAGTTACAGATGGATAATAAGCGAGGTTAAAGGCAACAGGTTAGCAGATGGATAAAAGAGGAGGTTTAAAGGCAACAGTGTTTACATGATGGATAAAGAGGAGATTTAAAAGCAGCACAAGTCCAGCAAAATTGGTCTTTTTGAAGTTATGGCTACCTTCAAAATTCAAAGGATGTAAGTGTTTAGAGGGATGGAAAGCAATCTTAAAGAAGTAGCAGATAATGAAAATACGAACCCCTCATCTAGAACATCTATCAGTACGCCAAACGTCACCACCAACGTGTTTGGAAATAGTCAAGCGATAGAACCTGAAGAGCAATGCAAGAGAGGTAAAATGATACACACAAAAAGGAAAGCCCACCAGCAGAACTTGACTCATGTACTGCACTTTCGAAACATTCACAAACAAGAGCAATAACAAATGGCTAACTGAAAGTAGACGCCATCAAACTCTATTAAAATATAACTGCATGCAGTAGCAAAATCTATTTGTCTACAAGCCTGCCATTTTAGTGCTTTAACTAAATAGAAGACAGACACATTTACTAGCAACACATGTAATTTACGATTCATAGAACAAGTTGATTAGTCCATGATTGTTCTTACTGACCGATGACTGACGGTGAACGCGTGATGGAATGTCAGAGCCTGTACAGTGTACAGTACTGCTGCTACTCATTGATATTCTATTCACACATATGTACGCCACACATCATGCACAAGTGGTTGTATAATATAAAAACAAACATGGTGTTTCAGTCTTGGATCCACATTCTCACAAATCAATCTACAACGATCGCGAGGCACGTGCGGTTTTATAATGATTTTAATTGAAACAGTACGGTAGAAATTGTTTAGCGGGAAGTTTCTCAACAGATTTCCTTATCCCTTTTACTCAGTCAGCAGGAAGATATAAGCCTCGTTCAACACGAGACCTCGTATTATGAAATACGGTATTTGCGAAAATACCGAATCTGAGACAAATACGCGACGAGCTTCACACGCTGAATATCGCGGCTCCAGGAAATACGGTAATTGCGAGCTGCGAGCTGCTTTAAGACAACTGCAATGACGCGACACAATGTCCGCATATTAAACGAGATGCACAGTGACACAGCAGCCGGGACGAACCTGCCCGTAACCCATACGTACACTCGGTCAGCGCGCTATCGAACAAAAGAGCAGTTCCACAGCACTACGCATTTGGACACGGGTCGCTGCGGACACCGTCGAGCCGCAGGAGACCAGTCTAGTAAAATGCCGGCTTCACAGAACTCCCACCGTCAACTGTCCAGAGCAATATAGCGTTCGAGTAGAGGAAATGCGCTGGAGAGAGAGCATCCACGAGGTATTGCGCAAGAGGCCAAAACCGAGACGCGATGAGACAGACCGGTCACGATGGCAGAGAGTATTTTGCCGGGGTCCTGGGAAGCGCGTGCAGTATTCAGCATCAGAATATCGCCGATACTGGGTTTGATCTAACCTGCGTAATCCTCTTCTCGACCGCGTGCGACGCCTATGCCAGCATAACTTTGCCTCGTGAAGCGCTAAATCAATCCCAGCACTCTTGCAACGATGATGAACCAGAGTCGCTATGAAGAGTTCTACGATGCACAGCGATGTCACGTTTCGAGACCATAGCGACCCCGACTCCAGACTTCGTCGAGCAGTCAGATGGCACGCTTGGTGAACTTTTTATAGCAGATGTTCTCACACTAATTCATCACATATGACATCAAACACCGTCACTGCTGTTTGATCTGTTTTCGCCGAGAATTTTTTTGGAGTATTTGAAACACACTCACTACATGTAACGGATAGTACTAAACTTTCGGTCCACTAACTCAACAACAACGCGCATCGTTAGTAGGAAGCCCGAGTGACATTGCATGTTGGAGCTGGTGAAAATAAGCAGCTCGGCCTAAGTACAATAACTGACGCCCTTTATGACCGTAACCGGGTTTGCAGTTATAGTACACTTCACCTACACAAGTTGTGCATTTGCAAAGTGAATAAGAACATCAACCAATCTACAACTGAATAGTAACGGTACCCTTATATTTGCGCAATTGGTACATGAGTGATTAACAGAGATAATTCTTGTGGTATCTATAGCAAACGTTATATAGAGAGAGGACTGCAGAATCAGAGTTACCGTCCACGCCGAACGTGTCAAGATCTTTTACCTTGTACTTCTAAAAGTATGCATCTCTACACTTCTTTTCCACTACGCGCATAAGGGGCTTACACTATTGCGCTTATTCCATCATTAGTATAACGCATATCACGATGTGCGCTATGCTCGGAGTCGCCATCTAAAAAATGCAATCAACACATCAGCGTTGACAGACTTACTAGCAATGATCACTGGAGTTCTTATACGTTCGACTCTTACAGGACTGCGAAGATCTAAATATGAGACTATATCTGCGTGTGATATGAGCGTAGAGCCTAGTCTAGAGACGCACATAATTAATCAATACCGAGACCAGGGTAGAATAACTACGCGTTAAACAGCCTACATTGCGTATATTTATGGTACACAGTCCAATAGAACTTATTATAGTCATTACACTCGCTATATGCTAAGTTTACCTGTATCGTCTGAGTTTACAACAGGCTCGAATTTCCCCAGTTGAGACCTAATCCGTACGGATTCCGTCACCCATTCACATCACCCACAATCGCCATAGTTGATATCCTAAAGTAACTGACTTATGCGCCGCAGTCCACGGGGAGTAGCGAACTAAAGTTAGAACGTATCTGACACATTAAGGAAACAAAATTTGCCAGCGAGCACCGGATTCGAACTGATCACATCCACTAAAAAAGGACTCTCTAGTGAGGCAGATTGCATAATATTTGATGGTCATAAACTGCACACACATCTAACTTAATTGAACTATAGTATAGAGTTGATTGCGAGAGTAGGCGAGATAATCGTCGCCTTTCGCAGCATGTGATCAGACTGCTGTGGTCTCGCTCTGTGGTGACTACAGTGAGAGACTAGAGACAGTCAAATACAGAGTATTGGCAGACGCGAGCAACGTGGAGAGGAAGCACTGTCACGTCGAGAGTTAGTACAGAGTAATTGCGTACGATACGCGAGTTCCGTCAGGGTTGCGCATAGTAATCCGTAACTAATCCGTAGGGTAATCTACCCTACGGACTTGAGCGCATTGACCTGTTGCGCACATTGTTGAAGCCCTGTATAATGTTGTGTGTTAGATTGTAATCGAGTCCTACTAGAAGTATAAGTCTATCACAAGCATGTACAATCCTGGAAAATGCACAAATAGTGAAACCTTAAATTGTGAAATACATATTTAATAAGCGAACAATACTTAATCTGTCAGGGCGGTGCCCAGAAGTACGCGCAAGTCACAAAAAATTGCTGCTGGCAAGGTTGATTGCAACTAACAGTAACATACTATAAATTTTTACAAACTACAGTTGTGGAGTACTAATCAAACTGAGGTCTTATTAAATATCTCTGTATAAATTACATATAATTAGGTGAATAATATAGTATACTAAATATATATCCATTATTTATCAACGCTTGAGCTTCGCTACATAATAAGTATACGTCAGCTGGCGCTTGGTAGAGTTTCTTTGAGGTTTGAGAGGCGTAGTTGAGGTTTGAGCGTCTGTGAAGAAGTAGGCCTACACGCACTGATAGAGATGAATTATATACCCTGACCGTACATGACAGCTAATGTACAGTTCTAATCAACAGCCAAGAAGCCATATTCCTGTTCATGACTAAAAGCAACCGGTTATCTGACGGCACGTCAGAGCAATGCTGTCGGCAGGTAATCGCGATGTGGCACATCAACAGATCACGAGAAAGATGCGAGCGCGATCATTTACAGTACTACAACGTCTTCAGGATTTGCACCATTTGCGCATCATGTCAGCAGCTCGCAGCTATTATTGGTTCCGTCACAACTGCGATGAAGGATGAACACATGTCGCTCAAGTAAACAATATATTAATATACGTACGCTGAGAATATGACCATTCTGAGTGATAACTTTAGAAAAGTTGCCCCTCTTCACATCCAACGCAACCCCCTTGAAACTGAAAAGAAACATTGTCTTATAAAATAGAGGAAAATGTTTTATTATTATTTTTATAGATTATATAGAGATATTAATATTCTACTTAATTTCTTTCTAGAAATAAACAAATATAAAATAAATGAAATATGTGCACGTGTGCGTATGCCGATAAATAATACAGGCTACGCGTTTTAATATTTATCCACGGTTGGTTCCACGATGCCATACATGCCGCAGAATTTTGTGTGGAGTCAGGAACAACGCCAACTATACAATATGTGTATGGATGGAAAGTAGGAACTTTTCCTGCAACTAATCTACCCAACAGGGCACAAAATCAGATATATTTACAAAACTTATCAACAAGTCACAACCCCTATGGCTCATTTACTAAGTAAGGACCACGCTAGACGCTTACGATAAAAACGGTCCCGCGCATATGCCTCCAAAACATGCCATTTCATCGAGTATAAATTTTGTTAACATGTTCTTATTATTGAATTACCCAAATTTAATAAAATGTAATTATTGTCTTATAGTTATAAACAGTTGAATTAAATAGCTTTCATCATCTCCTATCTGCAGAACTGGTGTTTATAGAAAACGTCATTTAGTAACTGCCAATTGAGTGACAGTCAAAAAACCAACTGACACGCCGCACAGATATTTACAAGGCCTTTAATTCAAGAAATGTACTGTTTTTGTCAGAAATTGTTCATTAGGTTTGCACAAGTGGATGTAAATCAATCCTGACTAGAGCCAGTGCGCTTTGGAATAGAGTCTAGAACTAAATATAGTTTGTTCATGCAAGCAAGCTACCTGTATCTGTAACTTGTGCGATACCATATCTAACAACAAGCATATATAACCATTTTCAAAAAACCTGCACACACATTTGACAAATGTATATTGATAAGATTGATGATATCTCAATTTCACTGATCATATAGAAATGGAAGCAGTAAACTATTGGCCATTCAAGGTCTTTCATTTCAGTTAGAATATTACTAATATAATTAATGATAAATTTTATATAGTGAGTTGAACATTTACTGATTCATGGCAAGAACGTAATATATGTGAATTGTAAAATTTCATATATACTATAAATGCATCTAAAATTGTATTTACTTGAGTTTTATCATATTACTCTCTTTTAAATTCTTTGAAAATCGAGCTGTAACCCTGCATAAACAAAAGCCATTTCCTTAAATTCCCATGAAGACAAGCATCGTGGATTTCAACATGCCGTAAAGCTGAAGATACGTTCAATGACACGAACCTCCTAGAAAGGCTTAGTGACATTCATGTACTGCACTCTAATCAGGACGCCCAGGTGGTTGTGTCAGAAATTCACAAAGTACAGCTTAGAAAGGTATGAGAGTAAGAGCTACTGAAATTAAAACCGACCAGACTGAATCTACGTAACGTTCGAGCGGAAAAGAATGGCATACAACGGCAGTGTACGCAGTTGAGTTGCTCGTCAGCGCGTGTGCGTTTTCGCAACGCGTGTGCGTAACCGAGTGTGCGTGCGCGTAAACGCGTGTGCCGTACCGCGTTGCGTGTTCGCACACGCGTGTCGCGTAAGCGCAGTGTGGCGTGTTCGCAACGCGTGTTTCGTAGCCGTGTGCGTGTTCGCAGGCGCGTGTGCGTAACGCGTGTGCGCTGCGCGTAACCGCGTGGCGTAAACGCGTGTGCGTGCTCGCAAGCGCGTGTTCTCGTAACGGCGTGTGCGTGCTCGTAACCGCCGCTGTCGTGCGAGCGCGGCGAGTGCGTGTGCGCGTTGTGCGCGCGCGTGTGTGTGCGTGTGCGTAACCGTGCGCCGTGCGTGCATAGCAGTGCGTGTGAGTGTATAGCCTACGGACGCGTCGCGTGCGAGCCGTGCGATCGTGCGTCGCGCGTGTGTCGAGTACGACGCCTCGACGGACGACGTCTGCGTGTATACGCGTGTGTGTGCGTGTGTGAACGCCTGTGTGCGCCGAGTGTGGCGAGCGTGGTGTTTATACTCCGCCTGTGTGCGTGAGTGTGACGCCTGTGTTGCGCCAGTGTGCGAGCGC